AAAAACGCTGGTTAAAAGATGTGGAAAAAAAACTTATAACCTTTTTTTTTTTTATACTTAATGTTGATTAAAAGAGGTAGAAAATAGATAATAACCCTATTATTTTTAGACTTAAACGGACAAGGTTGTGAAAATAATTCATTTAATATCTTTATCAGATGTGGAAAAAAAACATATAACCCTACTGTTATTCAAACTTAACGTTGATTAGAAGAGGTAGAAAATAGATAATAACTCTTATTACTTTTTATACTTATATAAACGGATAAGGCTGTTAAAATAACTTATTTAATATCTTTGTCATGTGCATCGCACGACGTACGTACTAGTTTAACCAGGAAACTAAGTGATATAATCGGTTTTGCTATGGAGCCATCAGATGACTCGATTTATAGAGTCATCCACAGTTTTCCACAAATGATGTATTGACACGTGTCCTGCAATAAATGCACCTTGGACACGTATCAATACATAAATGTATGGATGGCTCCATAAGGGAGCTAACCAATCAATTAACTTATATAAAAGGCATATGAGATAAATTAGCTTATATGATTAACAAGCTACACACTAATTACATCGTGTGAATTATAAAATTACCTATAATATTAGTTTTCTAATGGATTTTTTTTTCTCAATTAATTAATCAACTTCTTAGTTCAGTAAATAATACTATTTTTCTATTTTTTTTTCTTTTATATGAATAAATAGATACATTAATATTTTAAGCCCTCAATAATAGTCGATGGTCCTACACTCCTACTACTCCTTCCATCTTCAACACCACCCACGGCCACACCGGCGGCCCGGTGCACGGCCCAGATCCACCACCCCCTATGCTATTCAAACCCCTCCATCCGACACATAGTGGCGTCACCCGCATACGCAAGAGCATGACGTCAAACCCCAAACTCGGCCCTTTCCCTTTCCTATCCACTTGCTTACCCCATCCCAAGGGTTCTTCTTTCCTTCCTTCCTTCCTCAGATTTTCCACCCACTTTCCCTCTCTCCTCTCTCTAAAAACACCAATCAAAGAGCCATAATATAAAAGCATCAAAAAGCTAGCAAAACCCTCCTCTCCCATTATCCTCTCCGTTCACAAAAAAAAATATAGAGAGTGAGAAGAAAGGAAAAGGAAAAAAATACGATGACTACGCCAACCGGGCAATCGGCCACTCGGGAGAAAGTGCTAATCGAGCTGCTGACGACGGGTCGGGCCTCGGCGGCCAAGCTTCAGGCCCTCCTCTTGCGAGGTGGGCCTCAAGGGCCAGGCCCAAATGAGGCCCGGCGACTTGCGGTCAACATCGTCGAGTCCTTCACAAAAACCCTTTCCGTGATGGGCTTGACTTCCTGCACCGGAGGCAAGAAGGTGCCGCCGCCGCCGCCGACGGCCAAGGAACGGAGGGGATGTTACAAGAGGAGGTTAATTGAAAATATGTTAATGCAATATATTGTTAATCATTTTTTTTTAGGTGTATATATATGTTGGTGCTTTTGATTATTTAATTCATAAAAGTGCAACGCCACACCACTCTCCAAGGGCTAGGGTTAATATGAATGGGGTAACAACTTTTATTTATATTTTTATTTTTTTATTTTTTAAATTTTAATGGTTTAAAATTGATCAGGAACAATCAAAGAAAAATTATTCACATATTATAATATCTATTTCATTTTGGAAATATAATATTACCTAGATCTTGCAAAATTTCATAACTAAGCTCTCATCAAGTTTTATTACCGTTGAATCAACACACTCGGACAGATATCTACGAGTATTTATATATAAAAATAAAATAAAAAATAAAAACGCGGTAACAATAATGGTAGAAATTTTTCCTAATTAGTCTTGATTATTCTATATAAATTGACCTCCACATGATTGATTTTCTCTCAAAATTAGAACATAATTTATATTAGATAAAAATATGGTTATTGTAGCCACCATTTTTACAGGTTTCATTTTATTTTATGTTATTTATATTTTCTTATAATTAGTTATTGTGCGTTTTTTTTTTTT